AATGACCCTAAGCACACAGCTAAAATAACAAAGGAGTGGCTTCACAACAACTCCGTGACTGTTCTTGAATGGACCAGCCAGAGCCTTGACTTAAACCCAATTGAGCATCTCTGGAGAGACCTGAAAATGGCTGTCCACCAACGTTTACCATCCAACCTGACAGAACTGGAGAGGATCTGCAAGGAGGAATGACAGAGGATCCCCAGATGCAGGTGTGAAAAACTTGTTGCATCATTCCCAAAAAGACTCATGGCTGTATTAGCTCCAAAGGGTGCTTCTACTAAATACTGAGCAAAGGGTCTGAATACTTTCCGTACCCACTGTACAACATTATGCCATACTTGGAATTTGGACAAAGATGGCTAACATCATCAAATATGGTGGGTTAACCGACAACTTATAAAGTTTACTATGAAGTGTTTTTAATCCACTGAACTTTGTTTACATTTTCAGTCCCCGTCACTATGGATCCAAACACAGCCCAGTCCAACCTAAAGTTCTCTGAAGAGTTGACCTGTGTGCAATACAGCACTAAAAAGCTCCTACCTGACAATCCTGAATGCTGCACCAAGCAGTTATGTGTGCTGGGAGACACTAGCTTCACATCTGGAAAGCACAGCTGGACTTTAGACGATGTCCAGGTCAAAGACTGGTATATCGGAATAGTCCAAGAGTCCATCAGAAGGAAGAGTGCCGTCTTCCTCAACCCCACGGAGGGGTTCTGGGTGATCGGCCTGTGCAACGGAAACTCGTTCTGGGCTCAGACCTCACCTCCCACCAAGCTTGCGTTGAAGCACAAGCCTGGGAGGATTACTGTGGAGCTAGACTATGACAAAGGAAAGGTAGTGTTCATCAGTGCTGCAGATTTGACAATACACACATTCAAAGACAGATTCACAGAGAGGATTTTCCCCCACTTCTCCCCAGCACTGTACAATGAGGAGAAAAACTCCAGCCCACTGACAATATGTCCTCTGATCATAACAGTGGCTGTAGTATACTCACATACTTAGACACATGACTGTAGGCTGTTAGAACTGGCAAAATAAGAAATAGGGTGCATAGTTAAAATATTTATGAACCTGTTTCTAACATGAAATTCATCGGCAAATGTTACAATACCCTACTGTATCCAAAGAAAGCCAGAAGATCAGCATGCAGGTATAACAAACAATAACAAAGACTTTGACATATTTGAAAGATTTAATCTTGTTCAGAACAAATGCCTTCTGTTCTGTTCATTTGGTGACATTAACTGTCCTTGTCTTTGTTTTTTGGTTTCCTCTGAGATGCCATATCTTTCAGTTTAGAGTCCAGTTTTCTTTGCAGATAAGCTTTCTTATTGGGGTCGATGGATTTGTCTTTTTTCCCACTGCCAGCATAAAGAACACCTTCTTTGCTAATTCTCATCCGAGCATGACACTTGGCTTTATCTCCACAGCCGTGAACCTAAAGAGAGTGTTTATAAATGACAATCAGATTTTTGAAGAAAACACAAAACTTCATGCACACACATTTTCTTATATTAAATCTGTCACTTATTATGAAATGTCAGTCCACAGACTTTGATGGCATTGTCCGTACATTTTTAGCAACAACTACCAGGTTGTTGTGGCGTGTGCCTGTCTTACCTCTGGTATATGATGACTGAGACAATACTGTCTGTTGCAGAAAAGGCAAAGTTGTCCAAGGGTTAGCACCGACGCCTTACACTTGACAAAACTACACACACTGTCAGCCTTCATGACAGCGGTGATGAGTGTGTCAAAGTCATCATCCGAAGCCGCAGCAGCAGCGATGTCGCAGGCGCCTGCCTTTGTTCTGTTCTTTCCTGTGACAGAAATCAGAGTTGATTCATTAAAGTGACACTAGATTTCACATGACAGATGTACAAAAACAACAGTTCTAATACGAACCTTTGGCCTTCTTGGAGGACTGGGCCTGAGCTGCTGGGATGCTGTTCTGTTGCTTTTTTTGTTGAGCGCTTTCTTCCCTTCTCTGCTGTTCCCTCTTCATTCGCTCCAAATGTAAACTTTTCAAATCTAATGGCGGTTGACACAATGTCTCTCTTTGGGGATTTGGGCCTGTTTCCTCTTCCTTGGCTTCTTCTTCTTTGGCTTGTGTCAGCTCCTCAGCTGGTGTTGACCCCAGGGGCCTGGAGACAGTGATACACCTGTCTCTCCCCTCACCTTTGCTCTCATGCATGAGGCCTAGTTCCTCAGCAATCTGGTGAACCAGCAGGCGGTCGTGAGAGTTAAAGGATGATGGAAACTGAAGTTCCTTCTGATTTAAGTCCCTCAGAAAGTTCTCCACCTGCTCTCTGATCTCTGTGTATCTTTCTTTGTGCTGTTCTTCCTCTGTCTGTGCAGATGTGTAGCACTTTGTGTGATTCTCTGAACCAGTAGTGTTTTCCTTACTGGTGGATTTCCTCTCTCCTTGCTTCACCTTGCTGGGAGGCTGATCTTTGACCTTCTGTTTGGTAGATGTGGAGCTGCTGGCAGACATTTTAGCCTTTATGTCTTTGTTGCTGCGAGTGTAGTTCTGTGGCACAATATCTTGGACATACTCAAATGCTGTTCTGACCTCGCCAAACTCAGTCATATGATCAATCAGGGACTTCAGGAAAGCATGATTCCGGACAGTTTGTGTGTCGCACACTACAGCGATGTGGCGTCTCGCACGTGTAACAGCCACATTTATTCTTCTGTCCTCTGCCAAAAAGCCAACTTCACCTAAAATAAAAGAATGAACTAATTAATGCTACTCACATTCAGGATGTGGCAATAACAGGCAACTTCACAGCAAAAAAACAAACAATTATAAAAAAAGAGACCTTTTCTGTTGGAACGAACTAACGACAGCACCACAGCCTCTTTCTCTCTCCCTTGAAACCCGTCCACTGACTTTATCTCCAGCTCTGGATGCCTCGCAGAAAGCTTCTGACGCAGAAGATCAACCTTTACAGAGATAAAATATTAAAGCCACATCAGTGAGTCATTTCAAAATGCAACTGTCAGATATTTAGATGCAATTTCACAGTAGATTTATAGTTTAATATGACATTTTCTATTTGGTGAAATGTTATTTCCACTACTGTGAAAGTAAGAAGAAAATTAAGTTTTGCAATAGTGCCATAACAAAGTGAGATCAGATTTAACAGCAGTTACTTCAATCAGTGACTTACCTGTAAATTGTACGGCGCAATAACAGCTATATCTTTAGCTTTAACCCCAGCTTCAGTCAAAGTCTTTATGTGCACTTCAACAATGTCTGCCTCACCTGAGGAAACAGTACACACACACACACATTGTGAGCTCCCATACCATACAGACAGTAAAGACACCATTTACAGTATAAACTGACCGACCTTGATTGCCTTTGGACTGCTCATCTGGGACCTCCATTTCACTGAGACCACAGCCTGCAGTGTCGATCAGAAGCAGTGGTGTGCTGGTCTCATCGACACTGGTGACTCCTGGTAGATCTCTTTTTGGATCAAGGACAGCATATTTAACAGTCACTTTAATGAGTCATCCTTTGGTCAAATACAATCAACAAGCTCACACTTACTTTAACAAATGTTTCTCCACAGAGCTGTGAGCAGTCAGTCTTCCCTGGTACATCTCTTTGGAGGCCCACTCCATGATGGCACTGTTCATGCGGTACTGCACTGTTAGCATACGGACCACCGAGTCCCCATACATCTGGATAAGTCTTTCCATAAGACTGAGAGACAAACCTTTTGATGCAGCACTATGTGAGAGACAAAAGACAGTATCGTGCATCAAGCTGTAAAATTAGGTAATACAATTCTATTAAAGGCCCTGGATACATTTTTTCTGTATCAGCTTCTTACAATGACTGATGGCATCTTACAAGTCCACATTTTCTGCTAAAGCTACAACCGTTTTGATTATTTCAAATGACAGATTTCAGTTTTTCTGCCTGTGCACCTTTCTCTGGTATGAAGTTGGTGGAGCACAGCTGAACAAGGGTAATGGCACTTCATTTCTGTGCACCAGTCAGAGTCTGAATCAATTTGATAACAGTTAATGGCCTTTCTGTTTCCAGCACAGCCAATCACATCTGATCAAATGGCAAGCGGTTGAAATTGTATTTACCATTTACTTTTACTATTTTTCTAAGTAGCAATACCATAGTGCAGAAATACTCTGTTACAAGTTAAAGTCTTGTAGAAAAATTAACTTAAAGTACACACAAGTATTAGCATCAGAACATACTCTAAGGGTAAAGGTTAGAGATGGCAATATCGACACCCAGGATCAACTCGTGTCAAAGCCGTTCGAGACATCCAGTTTCGAGGCAAGGTCTACGATACCGTTTCGAAACATCAGTCACATGACCCCTGCAAGAATGTGGTGTTCTACTGTTTCTGCTATAGCTGCAGTTCATCTTTTTGTCAGCAGGCTGTGTGCAGCCAGTGTGTTGAAGCATTTCAAAACATTGGTTGTATTAAAACTGCATCACTAATAAATGTTCTTATTATACACAGTGGATGAATGCACATCACTTTAATGTTGATAGAGGTGGAGCTCATTTAACTACTTCATACACTGCTGGGGAGCTTAATTTATTAGTTAATGATATTTTGCAATAAACATGAATCGGCAAAGTAACTACAGCTGTTAGATAAACGTAGAGGAGTGAAAAGTGGAATATTTATCTCCAAAATTAGGTGCAGAAGTATAAAGTAGCACAAAATGGAAATATTCAAGTAAAATACCTCAAAATTATTCTTAAGTAGATTATTGGAATGAATATACTTAGGAACTTTCCTCTCTCCTAATGCATCCAACACAGTTTATGTATCTATTTTAACATTTAGTTTATGTAGTTATAGAAAAATGTTTGATGTAAAATCAAGTTTTAATAAAAATGTTTTAGCTACAAGTAAAGAATGTTTTCATGGTAAAAATATTAAATGTTATTTATATACAAACGCATTCAAAAAGAAAAGCAGTTTTTTACGTTTGTGATTTGATAGTAGGTGGTAACTGCTTGTAGTCTCCAGCCAGGATGCACTTGCGTGATCTGAGCAGAGCAATCCAGCAGCAGCTCTCCAGGGCCTGAGCACACTCATCTATCACCACCCAGTCAAAATGCTCTGCTGGCAGGAACTTCAGTGGCCCACCATCACAAGCACCTGCAGACACACACAAGTGCCATCTGATCGCCATTCATCATCACCGCTGCAACTCAGTGACATTTGCTTCTCTCAAAGCCACTACTGACCTGTGTTGGTTGACAACACAACATCAGCACTTTTCAGGATCTGTGTGATGGCTGTGGCTTCCCTGGTTTTCAACTCTTTTCTCAGCTCCCCTATTTCTTTTCTGAAGTTCACCCGCTCTCCTTTTTCATGCATCTTCTTATTTCCCATCTTGAAATAAACATATATATGTCACAAATTATTCAAGACAACACAAATGCTAGTAGGAACATCCAATAAAATACTTACAAAAGCTTTATCAATGTCTTTACGGATGTCAGCGATGATATTTGCGTTGTCGCTCTGAGCAAGGATGGCGTCCAGTGAATGTTTCTGTATGGACTCCAGCAGTCTGGCGGGGTGACCCAGCCTCACGACCCTGGCCTTGCATCGGGCTAACCTCTCCACTAAATTATCCACAGCCACATTAGAGGGGGCACAGCATAGGACCTGCATAAACACAAAATCCAAAGATCAAAATGATATGTCTAGACTGAGGGGATGTACTGAAAACTGCAGCACTGAATGACATGTAAATGCACTAATGCATTCAGCTTTGTGCACCTTTTGGCCTTGTTTGACAGCTTGTAGGATGATTTCCACCACTGTAGTGGTCTTCCCAGTACCTGGAGGTCCATGAATCACAGCCAGTTCTCTCTGAGACAAAGCAAAGGACACAGCTTCTCTCTGGGAATCATCCAGGTTCAAATTTAAGAACTGAACTTCATCTGATGAAAGAAAACAGAAACAGGATTAGTCTTTTATTTTTTTGTGTTGATTTGCAAGATTACTTGTGTAAAAGCCACCACCAGTTAGAGGGCCTGTTTTTCATCATATTTGCTTTATAAAGTGTGACATACTTGGCTGTGATTGAGAAGAAGGTTTTGTGTCTCCAAATAGAACACTTATCAGATTGGCAGCTGGCCCATTGTTGTATCCATTTAATGCATTCAAGGCACTGTAAACACAAAAGCACAATAAAAAAAATATTAAGTTATTCCTAAGTCTTACGACCCACTCGTATTTCTCATACATGCTCTGTGGTATTTTACATAACCTGTTACTCACTGCTTCATTCGTTTGTAGGTGATATCGTTTGCCAGCTTTAGGAGGTTGTAAAGAGCGTCTGGGTTAAAACCAAGCTCATCCTTTGAATCATCAAATGCTACACTTATAGATGCTTGGCTGGCTCTCGTCACTACCCCTGTGCCAATCTGTGAGGCTGCAGTGCATCCACTGGTGTCATACAAGCCAACTATATCACCTGTAACAAAAGACAAGCATCCCACTAAGCAAAATATGGACAATGAATCACAAAAAAAAAAAAACATAGATCAGAAGATTTATTATTCCATCTCACCGGGTCCAAAGTTGTTGCTTGGAAGAGATGAGAAGCCAAGATGCTTTCTTGGCTCTAGGACAACAACTGTGCGGCCATACAAGCCTGTGGACTGACTTCCTATCTGCAGTTTCAAAAGGCAAACTCCTTTATTTTGAAGATCTTTAGGTGAGATGTTTTCCTGCCATGTCCTGAGGGGACAAAACAGAGACAATGATATGCCCGTCTTTTCACTGTCATTTAATAATGATAAGTATCAATAGTAAGATTTTTGTGTATATGTGCTATAGGAAAAATTTCCTATGTTAAGGCCAAATGTTTTTGTTAATTGTACACCATACCGGAATAATCTCTTTCTAGGAAAGACATTTAACAACAGTATGACACTAAGTTTGGCAAACCCATCCACTCTTTTTTAATCGGTCACCTCCAGGTCCCCTAACTTCACAGAAGTGCAGAATGTAATTGCTGAAGTGCCCCTTTGGACAGTTATGTATCACAGTCTGGGTGCCATTTTACTTACTGGGTCTCCTGTATTTCAGCCTCTCTCTCCTCCTGTAGAAGCTCAAGAGTCTTTGACACAAATTGTTCAACTGCCATCGCTGACTTAAAAAGACAAAAGATAATTAGTGTTACAGCAATAATCCGAAACAACATGTGATTTATAGAGAGACAAACCAGGAGAGGTCCTACTAACTACTAGGTTTTAATGCTACCTACACCAGGTCACACTGAACTGCTAAAACTTTATGTTGTAATCTGAAATGAATTACGACTGGTTAGTTTTCCTATGATTTGGGGTGAATCACACCAGTGGTGGAGTTTAGTACATTTTTTTTCAAGTAATATATTTAAGATCAGTTTTGAGGTACTTGTACTTTACTCGAGTATTTTTATTTCATGCTAGTTAATTCTTCCACATGTTCTACAGATCAGATGCAAATATTATACTTTGTACTCCATTTACTTCTAGTACATAAACAAATGTTTATAGTTAATATTAACCCAGTAATTTAACACTAAACTGGGAACATGAGTTATATTGCTTTTAATATTTTTAGATGAATTTTACTGAACGTTTTGTATTTGTACTGACGTCATTTTGAACGCAGGGGGGCATCGTGATATACAGTAGGCACCAGTAATCTAGGAAGCTTAAGTTAAATACTTCTTCCACCACCAATACAGTACCTGTTGTTATATACAGCCCCGGGTTTTGCCTGTAGCTTAAGACCATTAACGTTAAGTGTAATACAAGTGACATAAAAAGCAGGGTAGTTTAATATTTTAAATACATGTTAAAGCTTCATGAAGATATTTTGCTCATTTCCAGACATGCTGACATGTTAGCCTGCTAAACGCACAGTACTTTAGCTGCAGTTAGAAAGCGACAATGACACTCACCCATTAAACGTTAGCTATCTGAACAAACGGCACAAGAGCAGAAAACCGAAAAGCTTGGTTTTCCATATGCGACGCCTCAGAATTCTCTTAATAATGTCTCGATGGCATTATCCTAGTTTGTTTGAGTTGTGTCTTCTTTTATTGTAGTAGTATGTTACTTTGCTGGCAACAGTGCCACCTATCGGCTCAGATGACTTCGCTTCGCACTAGCAGGCAGTGTTGCCTATTTGATTAACAAAAAGTAACCCAGTGAGATGCGCTATGGGCCCTAATAAACAAAATAGCAAAAATCAATTTTGGCATTACGAACTACGAAAACGTTGCCCAATTCCTGGTATAAATTGTCCAGTTTGGCAACACTGTTCACAGGACAAACTCACCTTTATTTTGAAAATACAGCGCGGAAGTTACCCAGCTTCGTTGACGCTTCAGAAACGCATCGGGACAGTGGTCAAAGTGCCACTGGCAGTCCAAGCCAGGTTGTTTATCATAAATTCAGATTTATGTTTTCAAGTTTTAGCGGTATGAACGGGGCCGTTTGAGCTTGTTGTTTTGTGTGGTTCCAAATCGCAGGGGATATGCCGGTTTTTAATCCACCAAAACTCAGTCGGGAAAGAAGCACCTACTCTGCAAACCTGAGCTAACCCGTTTTTATTGATCTGCTTCACGATTCCTTTTCCCCTGCCTTTTTGGAAATGAGAACGACGTTGGCTTTGCTGCACACCATCTCATGCTGCTGGTTGGTCAGTGCCACACTGTCAAAAACTGATGCAAAGAAGTCGTACAAAGCTGAGGCTGACGTGAGTAACTTCAGGTCTTCAAATAGGAGTGAGCTGTGTGTGCTGTCAGGTTACACAGGTCTTCCTCAGTTTCCCTTGCGTGTCAGTGTAACTTATATGACTGTTCCAGTTTCAGGAAGAGCCCATTATCCTCACCTGTCACCAGGTTATCCATCACTGAATTGTGCTCTTTTCTCTTTGATCCCACTAAGACATCACCAGCTGAGCTTTGTGTGTTGGAGAGGGGCCTTGTTGTGTCAGACCTGCACTGGAAAGACATAGTGAAGGAGGAAAAGAGACACTGTGTTCACATCAAGAGAACATTTCAAGGACCAGTGCTGGGATATGTCACACCTGTAAGTCACCTACATTTCCCCTTGCAGCTGTTCAACATTTGACAATACTTTTCCTGCAGCATTAAAGGAGAGAATCCAGTTTTTCAAGTAAGCCTTGATACAATACTCACACACTCATTTGTGTTTGTCACTGTAGTTATTGTTCCTAGCATGACACCAAAAGAGATTGGGTCTACACCCACAGGCCTCCTGGAAAAATGCATACAAACATGGCCTCATGAGTCATACATGTAGTTAGCCCAGTAAATTCTTGCAAAGTTTGTATTTTTATGTCTTACTCTTACACCACCCATACAGTGGAATTCCCATGGCTATGACATTGCCAAGATGTTTGGTTCCAAACTGACTTCAGTGTCACCAGTGTGGCTTCAGCTCCGCCGCCGGGGACCTGAAACCTTTGACATCACAGGACTTCACGATCATGACCCAGGTAGACGACCAATATTACTGAAATTTTATTTATTTTTTTTTATTTTTACCACTTCTTAAAGTGGTACCACAAATGACTAATGTACATAAATGGGACTCTTTGTCATTCTAGGGTGGGTCAAAGCAGTACGCAAGTCTAACAAAAAAGTCAAGATAGGTGAGTAGGTGTCATCCTACAGGTCAGCTCACATCTGTTAATGTGGCTCAGTGCAAAAGGTTTCAGATAAGAATTTGGCCATTTGATTTAGTTGTTCAGTTTTCTTTGTCCTTAGTGCCTCGGCTGTTATTTGATGGCTGGTCTTACCAGGACTACATGAATGTGTTGGCGAGTGAAGATGAGATTGAAGAGCTGGGGAGTGAGCTGGTGAATGTTGCAAAGGTAAGTAAGTATTGAGATTAGTTTCAACACTGGGCTAAATGTATAAAAGATGTGCAGATTAATGAATCGGTGGTCTTACAGACTGAAGGTTTTGATGGTTTCACCTTGGAGCTGTGGAGCCAGCTGGGAGGTAACAAACGGAAGTGAGTCATTTCAGTGACATCTGTTTTGTCACTTTGACCACCTTTTTTTTCCCAAAGCCAACAATTAAACACTACATATAATCTTTTACATACAGGGAACTGGTGCATTTGGTGAAACATGTATGTGAGACTTTGAAAGAAAAAAGATTAGACTGCATTCTTGTGATTCCACCAGCTGTGACCAGGTGAATTTTATCCATGTACTTTAAGCCAATGTTTAAAAAAAAAAAAAAAGGAAGTCCATAAAATCTGTGCTTGCTGTTTAACTTCTGCATTTCTTCTCGTGACCAGTACCGGGCAGCCGGGAATGTTTGGCAGGGAGGAGTTTGAGCAGTTGGCCCCGGTGGTCGATGGATTCAGCCTCATGACATACGACTACTCAAACAGTGCCAGGTGAGGGCTACAGACAAGTGATGTCCATAGATTCACTGTGGTGTAAACGGAAATGTTTTAGGTGGTGACATGACCATAACAACACAAAGATTCAAAGTGTTGACACAGAAAGCGCTGTGGTGTTTGTCTTTCTTTCAGACCGGGTCCGAGCTCTCCCCTGCCCTGGGTGCGAGACTGTGTTCTCCAGCTTGCACCCAACACTCAGTGGAGGCAAAAGCTCCTGCTTGGACTTAATTTGTATGGCCTGGATTTTGCAAGCCAGGGAGCAGAGCCAATCCTGGGAGGACGGTAAAATAATACTGCTGGAATGCTTTATTCACATTTAAACAACTTTTTCACATGTGTACTCAAAGCCTGTGTGTTAAAAATTTTGCAAGCCAGGGAGCAGAGCCAATCCTGGGAGGACGGTAAAATAATACTGCTGGAATGCTTTATTCACATACTCAAAGCCTGTGTGTTAAAAAAAAGTGTAAAACTGGATTCCCTTTAAACCCCCCACAAAATTTTGCAAAAATATCATTATGGGTGTTGTTTGAGCATATTTGATCAAACAACACAGTGGCTTGGAAACAGTGCAACACCTGTCATCAGGTTTCAAATCAAATGCTGCTAAAATTCTGATTGGTGCACAGAAGTATGTGACATCACCTTTTCCAAATAAGAAATCAGGTGTTTGTACAGTTTCAGGTCCCTAACAGTTGCCGTTCATCTTCTGTAGGTACATCGAGATTTTGCGAGAACACAGACCAAAATTTCTCTGGGATGAATATTCTGCTGAGCATTATTTCACTTACAAGAGGTAACAGAGTAATATTTTGAATGGACAAATATTTGCCTCCAACAGCATCTTTTAACAGGATCCGTCCCTGCCCTTTCATTTCAGGAACAATGCAGTTAAGCATGTGGTGTACTATCCATCACTGAAGGTAAAACTTCCCATTTTGACTTAGTTTGTAGGTAAATGCAATAGCAAGATAGAACTTTACAAATTTAAGATTTGTTTGCAGTTACATGGGGAGATTAAATTTGCTTCAATTATTTTACAGTCAATCTACCTGAGAGTCTCTTTGGCTACTGAACTGGGAACTGGAATTTCCTTATGGGAATTGGGACAAGGACTGGATTATTTCTATGATCTTCTATGAGAGCTGGACCTGACAACTTTGGATAAAAGCACGTGGACCTTTTTTCCTCCCCTGGGAACACGGTGCATCAAATATTCTGGTGCTATATGCTGGTATTATTTTGACGGGAGCTCTGAAATGAACCACTGAGGGCCTAGTTAATACCTAAGGGTTATGACAGTGTTGAGAAATCACATCTACATGAATGAAACAGATTTTTTTTATTTAAAAGTTACCAGCAGCAGACAACAGGTACCTATATGTTTTATTCCTTTTTTTGGCGATGTTGTGAACATCTTATTTAGTTCAGTCAGAGTGGAGTAACACATCATTCAAAAACAGAATGTGCATGATCGTCTGTATGTTCACAATGTACTGTACATGATGCGATATATTCTCTTCTTCGGAGGCCTTCAGAGTTCATGTGCCACAAATGTCCACAGCCTGTCCTCAATGTAAATCTGGTAATCTTCTGTTGTTGTGCTCACCATCGTCTACAAATGGTTCTGTGCATGGATGCATCTTCTTTGCCGTGGAGACCCTTTGAACATCCTCAAGACTGCATCTGCTCCTGACTCATTCTCTCTTTGTCTTAAATTTCAAATCAAGATGTTTGTGTGGCTTTTATTAGGTTTGTGATAGAATCATTGACAAGTGATGAAGTTGTATTTACAGTGTTGTCAAACATCTGTTCTGACCTGGCATCTTCCAAGGTGAAAGTTTAATTACATGAATATAAATGTGGAACAAGCTCTTCAAGTTCAGTGCTTCTGATTCAAACCTTTGTTTTTACTTTGCACTACAGAACAGAATGAGATTATGTACAGCAAGTGAAGTGGACTGCATATTCTGACCAGTTATTAGGTGTCTGTCTATGACGATATGCACAGCATCTTCTTTGCTTGCTAAAAACAGAGAAATGTGGGGAGTTTAGTTGTTGTTTTTTTTTTAAAGGCTGATTCAGTTATCTTAAATGCTAAAGCGTGTGCACTCTGCAGGTCAGCTCACCTGTGTACGATCCACCACTGTCCTTCACAAAGTCCTCCACAATCAAGGGCAGGTTGGCAAAGTCAGGCTGTCGCACCAGTTCAAACACTGACGGCTTTTAACAGAAACACTTACTGTTATAACTTTTACTGATGGGGATATTGCCTTAAATGTTTAACTGAGGAAGACTAACCCCTGTTAAGCTATAGCCACTGAAGATCCACCTCTGTCCCTCAGTGGCACAACACAGAGCTGACACTCCTTGTCCTACTGCACAAACAGGCTCTGCACAGAGAAAAGCAGCCTGTATCTGTTTTCTAAAAACACATATAGACTACATAGTGACTGCTCTAAAAATGAGCCTCACACTCACTGTTCTGGGAGATGAAGTGCATGAGAATGCGGTGTAGAGAGCCACTGTGTGCCAGGTCATTCAGTGCTCCAGGACAGTCTGGAATGAGCAGCGCCTGGTATCGGGCACCTGGAAAGGGTCATCCTGACATAACTGAGCAGAGTCCGGCCAAATGCAAAAGCGGCCCACATGGAAACACCCGAACATGACCGTGAAGTTTATACTCACCGTCTATAGATTCAAGTTTGGCTGGCGTTGCGTAAGGTTTCATACTGAAGTCCTGCACCCATCTGGCGGTGCTTTCATCTACTCCTACAAAGTCTATAGGTTTCCCCTGCAATCAAATAAACACTCAGCTCCATCACTGACCTCATTACAGAATAACTGATGTGTTCACATGGTGCTGATTACATCATGGGGAAAATCATGTGGTCGGTATTTCCTGTTTTCAAGCAATACATTGAATCTTACTGTATACAGAATGTCCATGATCTCACAGTCTACTCTCTAGCTGGTATTATTAGATATATTTAGCCAGTGTGAAACATTTGAAGTTATTATTTACAGACTCTATCCCAGACATCCTCAGCTCTAAACTGACCCAGCTCACTGTGCCTGCCCCCCACCTGGACAGTGAATCACCCGCTTTCTGACAGACAGGAAGCAGCAGGTGAGGCCAGCACCTGGACAATCTGACATCCATGGGATCACTACGTTTCAAGGTTTAAAAAGTTGTTAATTAACCTTATTACTCTGCTATGTGACCGAAACATGGGCTATCGTTCTTGCATCCGGAGTGCAGACGTCACAGACGGGATTACAGCTATCCCTGTGTGTGTGTGTGAATTAGAGAGATACTCTTACCCCAGGTGTGGCTGTCTGCAGGTTAAACGCTGAGTTGCAGAGACTGAAGGACTGATGGAAAGACTTTGCTGTGACTCCTGAATAAACAAAGCACATGTATTTAAACGTATCACCGTAACGTCCTGAACAGAAAGCAGCTAATAACTGTTAAGCTAGCTAGCCAGTGATGCTTTTTAACCACAAATAACTAAACATATGACTGCTGAGTTCTCTGTTAATACACAAACTCTCAGTAACGTTACACTGTTAAAAACTAATGGACCCACCTTGAGGAGATGCACTCGCCACAATTAAACAAGTTGGCTTCGCAGACATCTCGTTAATCTCTGTGTTACATCCACATAAAATATTTCAGCTCGTTTGAGATGAATAAGAGGATAATTGTGGACGAACTCATCCAATAGAAATGCGCCAGGAGGAAGTAGGTCCTGTCAGCTGACAACAACATCCGCTCAAGGATTTCAGAATAAAAGCTCAATGTCAAATTGAGGGAGGGACAATAATCTGTGAAATTCATTCAGTATGATAAATGGTAAGCATATTTATTTGTATTTTAACAAACAAACATTTGTTATATTCATTTAAATGAGCTCTTTAGTGAACAATGTGTGGTACATAAAAAAATAGATAAAAACAAGACCAAGACTGATGGAAAATGAAGCCACGGCTTGTTCATATTTCTCTGCTTATTTAAATGTGTTTTCTGGTAACAAGTTCATTCCATTATCTTAGAATAATATTGAAGATACTTCAAGTATTTAATGGAATTCTGCAGAAAAAGAACAGTGCCGTCCAGCAGCATTACAGTATTTCTACTGTTTGTAATTTAAAAATCCTCATGTTCGCATTTAAAATAATAACTTCACAGCACCTGAACTGTGTAAATCATTTGGGGTATTATTATCTCTAATCAGCTATTTTACAGTTCATGGTGTGACACATTTTGGGACAATGAAGAAAGTCTAAAATCAGTATGGATCTTTTTTCAGTTTGTGGTAAAGGCAGCAAGTAACCATCATCCCCAAAAGCTGGAAAAAAAAAAAGACGAGGAATTCGTTAGTTTCACACTGCTACAGAAACAATTGTGTCTTAGATTGAATTCATTTACATTTCATCTACTGGTATATTGCACAAAATTAAAATAGGTTTTTCATGATAACCAGCATTTTTCTCGGTGGTTAGAGTTTTACCTGGAGAAATGCAATCCCAATGCTCACTGCACCAAGAATATACAACTGACTCAGGATGAAGTCCTCTAATTTCATAATGCAGCCTCCCTGGGAGCATGAGAAAGGGGAAGAAATAAAAATCTTGCTATAATTCAACATTTAGCTATAGCCAAAGGGACAGTTTTTCCTACCTCCACATTGTAGATGTTGGAGGGATGGTCCCTGCGGCCACAGAGCTCACTGGGAGTTATACAGCAGCTATCAGGGACAAGCCGCTGATCATCTTTAGCCTGGATCCACACACTGTCCCTCCAGTCTGTGAAGTTGTTACTGCCACAACATTTAAACTGAGCGGGAACAAAAGAAAGAAAAAAGGTGGTGACAAACATTGAACTGTATTCACATGCAGGCTAAAGAGGCAGTCATTTCAAATCAAATGCTTGAAACTGAAGTCACTGAGTTTTTCTCTTAAGTGTGGTGGCTGTTATTTAAACACACAGTATCACTTCCACACCTCCTGCTGACGTTTGTCCACAGCCTGTGTGCTCTGTGTGATGCTCTCCTCCCCTGGTTGTTGGTATTTCTGCTGCATGGTCACCCTCAGGTTCTGTCTAAGCTCATCATCCAGCTGTGAGACAGGAGAAGCACTTCAGTGAAATCTGTCACCTGCTGATTTCATCCCAATCATAAAAATAGACACTGGTCAAGTTTCTTTCTGCCCCTTTAACATTCCACTCTACCTGTGCAATACCCAAATGTAACTCAATATATGTGAGCAGAGATCCTCTGACCCCACTCCCTGTTTTATGAGCATTCTTTAAATTGTTCTGCAAATATAGCTTTGTTGATTGACTGAAAGTGCAAAGAGTGTGAGTGGACCATCGTATCTCAATCTGTTAGAGCAACATTTTGATATAAAATGGAAACAGTTGCAGGCAGATTACCTGATAGCAGAGAGGGAAACACTGGAGCCAGAAAAGGGGAAGAAAGAGAGGTGTGAGAAGAATGGAAAAACAGGACAGGTGAAGAATGTGCACAGAGAGACATGCAGAGGAGATTTCACAACAGCAAGTGTCGCAACTGAGGCATTTCATGGGTGGTTTAAAAAAGTTAAGAGAAATGACAAACAAGCAAAGGTGTTTGAAATCAGATAAGAAGGTAACATAAAAATATCCAGAAAATACAGATAGAAGGGGAAAAAGTCATGTTATATATACATACTGTATATTGAAAATGACATATTGAACTAATATCTGTCACCATGCTTTGGTCAGTTATATGCAAACCTAAAAACAGAAGGTCAGTGGTGGAAGAAGTACTCAGTACTTAGTAAAGTAAAGTACCATACCACAGTGCAAAGATACTCTGTTACTAGTCATGCATTCACAATTTTAGTAAAAGTACAGAAGTATTAGCATCAAAATCTAATTAAAGAAGCCAGAGTAAAAGTACTCATTATGCAAAATAGCACATTTCACATTTATGTATATTGTATTATTGGGTTACAGTTCCTGATGCTTTATCATGTTAACTACCTTATATGCTTATAATTTGAAGTACTGATGGATAGCTTGTCAATTTCCCATCGGGGATCAATAAAGTTTTCTGATTTTGCTGTTTTTTTGTTCTGTTAATCAGATTCTGAAAAGTAACTCAAGTTATCAAATAAAAGTAGTGAAGTCAAAGTATGAAGTAGCAGAAAATGAAAATACTCAAGTACAGATATCTCAAAATGTTACTTAAGTACAGTACTTGAGTAAATGTACTTTCCACCACTGCAGAAGGTAAAACATTTCACCTCTTGGTAGTTTATGAAGGCCAGCAAACCAGCAATGATTTCCAGCAGGAAAATACAGAGCAACAGGATTAAATACTGTAAAAAAAAAAGAAAAAAATCAGAAATAAACAAGAACACAGCTGTAAAAACAAAATATAAATTCCAGCATTTTGAGATCGTATTTCAGTACATTTCTGTGCCAAAACATGACATTAGCATTGAAAGAATCTGACTAAAATATCAAAACTAAAATGATGCTCTAGAGAATAACTGATTTAACTGTGGGAAAGGTCATGACTAACATGGAAATAAACATAAGGTCACACAGCTTGTGCAGCTTTGCTTCTGCATTATATCCTCTACATCTCTCTGTCTCTATCACACACACTTCAGTTCAGTAACTGCTTGTGATGCCTCTCATTCCTCTGGCATGAGCCACACTCTAAATCGAAACTCTTAAAGACACACTCTACATGACTTTGTTATATCTAACAGTCAGGCCGGTCTTACATAATGACATGCACTGAATGCAGGCAGAGGATTAACTGTGAATACACATAGAGCCAGATTGGAGTGTGTGTGTATAAAGAGGAACTTAAAGTGTCTTTCTCTGGTTTCTTATCCCACATAAATGGGATTAATTCTCTGGAGTGAGATAAAAGAACCAAGCTAAAAAAAACAAAACATTTAGAGCAGTGTTTTGTGTGACTTATCCACCTTACCACAATCAAAAGACTCTTCAGCTCCTTTAGAGTGGCACAGCATCCGATTATTCCAGTCACTATCACAATGACTCCAGCAGCTATCAGGATGTAAGCTGAGGCTGAGTAGAAGCTGGAGTTCAGCAAACTGATGTAGTTGCTCTTTTCCACCAGGGTCCACACCCCCACCACCAGCACAGCTCCTCCTGCCAGCTGAAGGAACATACTGTTAAGAGCCCAGCTGAAACCAGATGCTTATAAAATAAATCATAAAGTGTAATAACGAGGCAAACAAGACAAGGCCTTATCCTTTCAACGTAAGCCTCGAGATTTGCAGCTAAATTAGTTTTCATTATTTGTTTGTACATGAACCACAGTTTCATATCTGAGTACATACTCTGTGGAAAGGTATGTACCGAGAAATAAATGATATATCCTTAAAGCCTAAAGGAAGTGAAAGTAGCACTTAAAATGAAAGTTTAAAAAAAAATGGATAAAACAAAGGAAAAGTCCTGTACCGGAGTCAGTTTCCTTGGCCAGTAAAGCTGATTCTGATGTACATAAACTGTATAGACATTGAATTATTTATTTACTGTATTTATTTATTAATTTATTGTGGCTCCATATTAACTATTGTAAAAGTTGTAAATATGAAATGATATTGGAAATATAAAAAGATTATACAGAACACAGTCTAGGTCTACATATTTTTGTACAATGTAAGGAAAAAATTCATTTGTAATAGTGAGAAATAGGAGAAATTGTGTAAGTCCTGCAATGATTCAATGTCAAAAAATCTTTAGTATTTATTAATCTTTATTGATAATTATGACAGTATGCAATAAAGGCCGTGAAGAGTTTTGTTTTATGCTAAATGTTGCAAAATTCTCAAAACATTCTTGTTAACTTACCCAGAAAAGAATATTGAAGAGAAAAAGTAGATATTTCAGACAAATTGTCCAACGTGTGTGAGTTTTTTCATGTTGAGATTCCATCCTGGGGGAAAGAACACTGACACATTAGTTCAATATAATGAAGTTTTTGAATCTTTCTGGAGAAGATCAGACTGCACAGCTGGAGATGCTCTGAGAGCAGGTCCCACCTCTAACCCTCCTCTCATACTTTATTAGCACACAGTTTTCCTGCTTCTACACTTGCATGGCAAACTAAATGCTCTGAGTACTAATTCTGATTGGTCAGTTGCTGTATATACAGTATGTAGGAATTTCCTCTTTCTGTCTTATTTACTTCCACCTTTGGTGTCAAAAGAGAATCTACTGGGTCTAACATAGCTACACTATGAGCTCTTCTGAAAATTAAGATTTTATATGCATTATCTTTGAGTAACATTAAACAGTACACCAAATATGAAGTCAGTAAAAGAGAGCAATGGAAAGAGATCTGATGAACTCAAATATGTTATGGGGAAACATACTTAACTACTTGTGTCACATGTCATCCAGCAGACAGATATATACAGTACGGTTACAGGATGTCCTCCATCCCAGTAACCTAACCTTATATCACACCCCAGTGATATACTGTTGACTTCTAACTCTTTAATTCATTAATTAATCAGTCTGTTTTCATTCTACCCTGAACTTTCCTCTGCTTCTATTTAAATCATTAATTAATCAGTCTGTTTTCATTCCACCCTGAACTTTCCTCTGCTTCTATGTTTTAAAAAGATTAAGGTAATGGTTTTAAATTGAATATCTCTCTTCAAAAGAAATGCACATAACAAGAAAGGCTAAATGCATTAAAATAAAAAACTGATGCACATACACTTTTTTCCCATAAGACAAAAATACTTTGTCTTTGCTTGACAATCACATTCACACAATCTGCTAATGGTCGTATTCAGAGTTATTTTTAACTCATTGTGTCATGGAAAAACTGCTCCCCCTTTCTGCTAAGACCAAAATACTCCTACCTGTTTTGATGGTGGGCCCTGAAGGATGTAGACTATCGAGGTAACGTCTTCCAAGCTCCCACAGTCCCCAGTGTCAGTGTGCTGCTGTCTTTGAAAGGTGACTACAACAGTGTAAGTTCCCAGCTGACATGCAAACCCAAGCCTCCCACCCAAGTGTCTGAGCGTCTGTCCTCTTTTGGCACAACAGGCAGCTCAGCCCTCAACAAGCCAAATAAAGTACATGTCTGCCCCCAGCTGGTTTCTCATGCATATAAGCAAAAAACTAAGACAACAAAGGAGTAGTCAAAAATATATTTTACTCCACAGATGATATAACACATGCAAACATTACAGATATCATTAAGTAAGCATGAAAATGGCACTGTCTGTGTCTTTAAATGAAATAAGAGGACTTGATAACTCTATGGGATTTCACAATTACCCACAACTCCGTCCAGCTGTCCCCCAAAAAAAATTTTAACTCCACCGGCCCGTGGTGTGGTCACTTGGGAGTTTTTGGTAAAGCCTTTTCACAAGTCTTTAATCTTCTGTTTATTTACAGCAGTGTCTTTTATCTGTGTCCTCCATCAGTGAAAATGCATCTCCACACTGTCGATCGTGCTGGTCAATCAACATTCTATAATTAAGAAAAATCAACCACAACGTTTGCTGTTTACATCAGTGATCCTGCTACATTTCTTTAGATAATAAATAACATGTGAGGATCCACAATCAGCTTCCAGTTTATTAAGAACACTCCCATTTACATCAATAATGGGTGACTAAATATATAAAACTGTGCTGGATCAATTATTCAGTTACTGGATTGACATCAAATTTATCAGAAACTAACAATTATTCATTTAATTGATTCAAGTAAAAAAATCTCTGAATTTGTGATGGGTCTTTTTCAATAACTGCTAAAAATACAGCTTCAAAAATAACCATAAAGTGGAACCGGCACCTGTTTAAAATAGTTTCAACAAAAACTGAACATTATAACGATCATGAAGATTTATTTTAGGACTGTTGTATTAGACTGTGTAGATTGTATTAGTTGTAATGGGTTTACCTTAGACTGGAAACTAACTGTGGTGACAATGAAAAATACATTGACTGATTTGTGCAATAGTACAGTCCAACACTGCAGATACAAACATTCTGCTGAATGCAGAGGATATAAATGGAAAACACTGTAACACTTATGTAAGTAAATAAATACCAGGCCATACCCAGCCAGATGAGTCATCAGGTCCTCTATGCTAGATCCAGATTTGGCACTGCACTCGTAAAACAAAGCCTGGTGCTGCTGTAGAAGCCATTTGTATCAAAGATTATTTTCCTACTTTAGCAGAGGCTAAAGGTTATGACAAAATCACTGTAGACAGTTGATTAAATATTCAAATGTGCCCTACCTCTGCCAGCTTTTGCCCCTCCCCTGTGGTCACTTCTCTACAATGAGTGTCAGCCAGGTCCAACTTGTTCCCCAGCAGCATTAACACCACACCTTCACTCATCTTCTCCTGGGACACAAATACAACAAGTGACAGTACGCGCTCTTAAATGTAAGTACAACCACAGGAAGAAATTTTGTTAGGCTAAATACAAATTGGACAAAATAACCCCAATAAAAAGCAGAGTCAAAATCAAGACTAATCATTCAGATGCTATGGAGATTACTACCACACTGTAATGTCAATAACCTGCAATGGCATTCAAATTGGCATAAACTGCTTTGCATGTTTTTACATCCAACCACTGACGACATCACAACCTGCTCACCTTCACAGAGTCAATCCAGCCTCTCACAGCAGTGAAGGAGGTGGCCTGAGTTATGTCATACATGGCGAGGATACCGTCTGCTTTACGGTAGTACTGCTGAGCGATGCTGCGAAACCTGAACAGACATTAGTGAAGGGAATGAGAGAAAAATAAGGAAATCCATTTGTCAGGTAGTAAGACGAGAAAAGATAACATGGCTGGTAACTATGAGAATAAGCTGACCTCTCCTGTCCTGCAGTGTCCCAGAGCTGCAGGGTGATGGTGGTGGAGCCCAGAGTTAAAGTTTTCATCTGGAAATCTATCCCTAAAAAGAACAGAGGCCACTGGTTTTATGCTTTATATATACTGAGGAGTCAGTTATTCATTGTGAAAAAGCAATAAAAACAAACTAAATCTTACCAACAGTAGCGCTCATTTCATCGTAGAAGTGTCCTGTGCAGTAGTGCTGGATGAAGGAGGTTTTACCCACTCCTGAATTACCCAGGAATACCACCTTGAACAATCGCTGAGGACTGACAATTTTGGTCTAAAATTCAAGTAAAGGGACCAAAACAATTTGATTTAAATTGGTTGTCTTTTTTAGGCCTTTAAGGGGGGAAGCACATTTTTGCCAAAGACATGAAACTCTGTGCTCCATCACTGGCTTCAGAACATAAATGGATCATTGTGCTACCTAGTTGTATTAGATGGATAGATTTGGAATAAGCGGTGCATATTTTTTAGATTTATTACTTTCCCCTACCTGAGTTTGAGTCTGTTCAACATTTTCATCCCTGACTCTATGTGACGGTTGATGTCTCTTGGATGACCCTGTCACCTCTTTGTCTCTGTCCTGCTCCAACTCATCAGATGAGCTCAGCTGTCTTCAGAATCAATGAAGACACAAAATTAGTGGCTTCCTCAGGCAGTGTGCCTCGCAATGACAGCAAACACCATAACTGTAATATCAGATGCAGTTAGTCATACAAACCTTTTGACTGACTTGTCTTGTAGTAAGTAGTTACCTATGATTGACCCTTTCTTCTGCAAAGTGTGTCTGTCAACATTTGGATTCTAAAAGGGTTTTGTGAAAAACGAGGCAGGAGAAACGAGCAACATTAAGATTTCTACAGTCTTGAATAGAATGTGTCTTACATATATACAGTCATGGTCAAACATATTGGCACCCCTGCAGTTGTCAGGTAAAGCACCACTTCTTACAGAAAACTGTTGTAATCACAAATTCTCTGTCATGTTTAAATCTTTTGTTTGCACTGGAAAAACACTAAAAAGCAGAGAAAGAAGCCAAATCGGATACATTTCATACAGAATTACAAAAAATGACTGGAAAGAGTTATTGACACCTTTTCAAAATCATCAAAAAAGTCATGCTTTAAGCCTGTGAGGCTCCTTTAATTTGTCATGAAAAGAAAGAAAAGCAAAGATTTGCTTGAGGATTTGAGAACCACAGTAGTGGAAAAGCCTGGACAGTCTCAAGGCTACAAGTCCATCTCCAGAGATCTGGCTGTTCCCATGTCCACGGTGCACAATATCGTCAAGACTTTTACAGCCCATGGCGCTGTAGCTAATCTCCCTGGATGTGGATCAGAGAGAAAAATAGATAACAGATTACAACAAAGGATTATTCGAATGGTGGATAAAGAACCTCGATCAACTTCCAGACACATTCAAGCTGACCTGCGAGCACAGGGTGCAACAGCTCGCAATATCTGTCACCATCTGAATGACAAGGGACGCTATGGTAGAAGACCCAGGGGTCCCTCACTGCTGACACAGAAACATAAAAAAGCCAGACTGGAGTTTTCCAAAACCTACCTGAGGAAGCTTCAGTCTTTCTGTGAGAATGTCCTGTGGACAGATGAGACTGAAATAGAGCTGTTTGGTCAAGCACCTCATTCTACTGTTTTCAGGAAACAAAATGAGGCCTTCAAAGAGAAGAACACGATCCCTACAGTCAAACACGATGGAGGGTCACTTTGCTGCTTCAGGTACTGGATGTCTTGACTGTGTTTATGGCATTATGAAATCTGAAGATGACCAATGAATTCTGGGGCACAATGTAGGGCCCAGTGTCAGAAAGCTGGATCACGAAGGTCATGGGTCTTACAGCAGGACAATGACCCATAAAAATTTTCAAAAAGCACCAGAAACAGTTTCAGACAATGTGCTGCAGAGTTCTGAAGTGGCCAGCAATGGGTCCAGCTCTATGTCCCATAGAGCACCTGTGGACAGATCCCAGAACAGCAGCTGGGAGAAGGAACCCTTCAAACCTGAGAGACCTGGAGCAGCTGGCAAAAGAAGAGTGGTCCAGAATTCCAGTAGAGAGGTGGAAGAAACTCACTGATGGTTACAGGAAGTGGCTGATTTCAGTTATTGTGTCCAAAGGCTGTGCTATCAAATATGAAGATGAGAGTGGCAATAACTCTGTCCAATCAGTTTTTGGAGTTTTGTGTGGAATGTGCCAGATTTGGCTTTTTTCCTCAGCTTTTTTGTGTTGTTCCAATGCAAACAAAGGAAATAAACATGAGAAAACCAAAGAATTTGTGATTGCAACAATTTTCTAGGAGTTGTGTGTTATCTGACAGAGATGCAGGGGTGCCAATATTTTTGGCCATGACTAGGATAATATCAACTAACACAGTCTTCTCTGTAAAACTAATTACTTCACATTGGCAGATTAATGTATATGTACATTTAAAAAGCAATGATTCAGTCCAATAGTGACATTTATTCTGCTACAAAGTAGTTTAACATCACGATTATTTATCAGCAATACAAGTATTTAATAATTAGAAGAAAGAAAAAATACAAGAAATAATTGTGCTCTTTGTCAGATTCTTGTCTCAGACACATAAATACTTGATATAGAGAGAAACTGAAATCCAAAAATATCTATACTTAACAGCTTTGGCAAAAAATACCATGATATAATTAGCTCTAGGAGTGTGAAGGGGATGAATGCAACCTGCTACGAGATGGTTGATGACCACTCCTTTGAGAAATATAATAAAGGGCTTTATTATTTTGGTAAATACTGACCAGCTTAGTCCATCTGCATAAATAGTGATACA